GGTAGTGGGGTTGTTTAGGTATTTTCCTGTACAGTCGAAGAATTGATGGGCACATTTTTTTTGTTTTTCGTCTTTTGATTCATTTGAGAACAAGACGGGTGCAATTAAAAGGCTAAGGTACGTTTTAGAAAAAGAAAAAAAAATAATAAAATAAAAACCAAAAAGAAAAGTCAAATATCACAGAAAACCTGAGGCATGCACAGGCGCTTGCCTCAATAAAATAGCATTTAATGGCCCTTCAGGCATTGAAGGTGCACCTCAGTCATGCCTTTTTCAATCATGTTCGCAGAATCATATTTTAGACATGCCCAATCATGATAGAACAGGGAAAAAAGAACATTATAAAGCAGGGCAAATACCTTGTAGTGCGTCAATAAGCCATTCCACAGAGGCTGCTTACTCAGAACTTTGGGATTTCCCAAGATAACAATACCATAACGAGCACGGGTGAGGGCAACATTCAGCCGACGTGGATCATTGAGGAATCCAATGCCCTGAACATAAACGACACAAGATAAAGATATCATGCAGTGTGTTCCCAAATTTCAACAATTAATATGGCCATAAAATGAACATATTCTAAAAGAACAACAGATAAAGACAATTATGCATATCTAAATACATAATTACGATTTTCCTCTATGCTCCGTCTATCCCAAAAGTCTCACAACTTGTAATAATTAATGCCAATCTGGGTAAAAATGTAAGTTCCAAGACCCCAGCCAATTAACAGGACCATCAATATGCATCTCACTCCATCAAGTAGGCATTTACCATATCGTGACGATATGGGGGAGTATACAATATGGAGTAATATGAACCAGAAAACCTTGCATGCAATGTATCACAATCACATACTTTAGAGGCATATACACAACCAAAATTCTCGGAAGCTGACTCCAGGAAATAGAAGATTAGAAACAAGACAAACCTGATGCTCATTGCTCCTCACACAAGACAAAATTATATAGTCCTTTTCCCTTCCTTGGAATGAGTCTACGCTTGCTACCTGAAATGAATTACCATTTTTCCTTCTACCTTGCCAAAGTTTTCATAAAAAAATGAATTGCACGTGTAACTACTCTATATTTTACTCATCTTACCTCAATTTCTTTGTATAGCTGCTGCCTTAGAGCACCATTTCTTGACATATAGTTCACAATATATGCTCGCTGACCTTCATATGGTGTTATAACCCCAATCTACAGAATGCATTGCATAATTATCACCCTTTCGACATAAAAATAGAACCAAGCAGTAGAGCAAAAAAATTAGAAAAGCTTCACAGGTACCTGATTAGAAACTACACCACTCTTCAGAAAGGTCGTAACAATTTTCTCAACGTTTGCAGCCTCAGTCCTATTCAAATAGGATGTTCCACTTGCGCTGATCTCCTCTTGTCCCATCTATCAAAGTTAACCAAGCAAGTTTAACGTCCCTCTGAGGAAATAAAACATGGAAGGACAAAAAGAGAAGAGGATAGACAAGTCTGCTTCAATGACAAAAATACAAGGAAATTGGATTTGAAGTCTAAATTCAGCATCTCATCGAGTTTTCACGGCAAGAAGAAAAAAAATGAAATAATAAGAAACTGGCTCTTTGTGAGGTGAAGTATGGGAGTAAAAGAAAGAAATAATCTCTCATTTCCACATTAACAACAGCATTAATGGAAAGGAATTATTCCACTACTAATCAAAGCCCAACATTCCCACCTATGAAATAGGGCAGATGTAAATATACAATACAGTCCAATCCAAAATACATATAGCATGAATATACCTGGACGTAGAAGAACATTGGACGATTTGGCACTGGCCAAGGAAAATCAATGCCAGGTGATTGTCTTTCGTTAATCGTCACTCCATTTTGAAGAGTGCCTTCATAAAAGCTGTTAGATGGAAACTCCGAAAGAGCAGGATGCATCCGATATTGAACCTACCATGAACAATTAAAAGAAAATGGATTAAGGTTCCAACTCTCAACATAAGGTAGGGTAGCAAATGTTCAATTAACAAAAGGAATAGGCAAATACAAGGATGCAGGAAAATATGGTCATTTTTTCTTTTTGGCCCTGTGGTGGGGTTATTTATGTGGTGGCAGATTTCTTAAAATTTCAGGTAAATTGAGACTAGTCATTCAGTGTAGCAAAAAGATAGATACATGCTTCCTCAAAAGCACACTAAAGCAAATATAGATGACAAACCTGTAATCTAATTGGCTTGACACCAAGTAACACAAGCCGCTCGAACAGTGACTGAGCTAGACCAGCCCTTGCTGCTTTCTTGCACATGATGACGGGACCGAGCTGGCAGTGATCACCAACAAGAACAGCCTAACAAAGAACAAGTT